GAGTCACAGCTCCACCTTGTGGGCGACTTCTGCTTTATGGTGTTCATTTTCTACTGTGTGTGTGTGTGTATATGTGTGTGTGTGTGTGTGTGTGTGTATGTATATGTGTGTATGTGTGTGTGTGTGTGTGTGTGTGTGTGTGTGTGTGTGTGTGTGTATATATGTGTGTGTGTGTTATATGTATATATATATGTGTGTGTGTATATATACGTGTGTGGTGTGTGTGTATATGTGTGTGTGTGTATATGTGTGTGTGTGTGTGTGTGTGTATATATATATATATATATATGTATATGTGTGTGTGTGTGTGTGTGTGTGTGTATATGTATGTATGTATGTACAGTCATGGCCGAAATTGTTGGCACCCTTGATATTTTTCCTGAAAATCAAGTATTTCACACAAAAAAGGTATTGCATTAACACATGTTTTGCTATACACATGTTTATTCCCTTTGTATGTATTGGAACAAATATAAAACAGAGGCAGAAAAGCAAATATGACATAATGTCACACACAAAACCCCAAAAATGGGCTGGACAAAAGTATTGGCACCCTTAACTTAATATTTGGTTGCACACCCTTTGGAAAACATAACTGAAATCAGTCGCTTCCTATAACCATCAATAAGCTTCTGACACCTCTCACCCGGAATTTTGGACCACTCTTCCTTTGCAAACAGCTCCAGGTCTCTCTTATTGGAAGGACACCTTTTCCCAACAGCAATTTTAAGATCTCTCCACAGGTGTTCAATGGGATTTAGATCTGGGCTCATTGCTGGCCACTTCAGAACTCTCCAGCGCTTCTTTGCCATCCATTTCTGAGTGCTTTTTGACGTATGTTTGGGGTCATTGTCCTGCTGGAAGACCCAGGATCTTGGACGCAAACCCAGCTTTCTGACACTGGGCCCTACAGTGCGACCCAAAATCCTTTGGTAATCCTCAGATTTCATGATGCCTTGCACACAGTCAAAGGCACCCAGTGCCAGAGGCAGCAAAACAACACCCCAAAACATCATTGAACCTCCACCATATTTTACCGTAGGTACTGTGTTTTGTTCTTTGTAGCCTCATTCCGTTTTCGGTAAACAGTAGAATGATGTGCTTTACCGAAAAGCTCTATCTTGGTCTCAATCTGTCCACAAGACGTTTTCCCAGAAGGCTTTTGGCTTACTCAAGTACATTTTGGCAAACTGTAGTCTTGCTTTTTTATGTCTCTGTGTCAGCAGTGGGGTCCTCCTGGGTCTCCTGCCATAGCGTTTCATTTCATTTAAATGTCGACGGATAGTTCGCGCTGACACTGATGCTCCCTGAGCCTGCAGGACAGCTTGAATGTCTTTGGAACATGTTTGGGGCTGCTTATCCACCATCCGGACTATTCTGCGTTGCAATCTTTCATCAATTTTCCTCATCCGTCCACGACCAGGGAGATTAGCTACAGTGCCATGGGTTGCAAACTTCTTGATAATGTTGCGCACTGTGGACAAAGGCAAATCTAGTTCTCTGGAGATGGACTTGTAACCTTGAGATTGTTGATATTTTGCCACAATTTTGGTTCTCAGGTCCTCAGACAGTTCTCGTCTCCTCTTTCTGTTGTCCATGCTTAGTGTGGCACAGACAGACACACAATGCAAAGGTTAAGTGAACGTCTCTCCTTTTTATCTGCTTTCAGGTGTGATTTCTATATTGCCCACACCTGTTTACTTGCCCCAGGTGGTGAGTTTACAGGAGCATCACATGCTTGTAACATTCTTATTTATCCGCAGTTGTGAAAGGGTGCCAATACTTTTTGTCCAGCCCATTTTTGGAGGTTTGTGTGACATTATGTCGAATTTGCTTTCTTTCCTCCCTTTTTTTGTTTTGTCCCAATACACACAAAGGGAATAAACATGTGTATAGCAAAACATGTGTTAATGCAATACGTTTCGTGAGAAATACATGATTTTCAGGAAAAATATCAAGGGTGCCAACAATTTCGGCCATGACTGTATATGTATTTGTGTGTGTGTGTGTGTGTGTATATGTATGTATGTATGTATGTATATGTGTGTGTGTGTGTGTGTGTGTGTGTGTGTGTGTGTATATATATATAATTTTATTTTTTGTTCCGCTGGCGCCTGGCTTTCTCATGAAGGTGGTCAGAGCGGCCCATTAGCCATTGGATCGCTTTCAGTAGCGGCAATAGGGGATATCCCCCTCCTGCCGCTCACCGGTGTTTCTCGGGTTTACCGTTTCAACAGGCGGGCCCAAGAACCGTTCTAACAGTGCAGCTGGTCACAGAGCCAAAGAGAGACTCAGTCGTCTCTGATCGCCTCTATGGCCTTGGAGGAACGGAGCGACGTCATGACGCAAGTTTTTGGGGTATTTTTTTTGGTAAGAGAGATTTGGGGTCTTTTTGACCCCAGATCTTTCCTTAAAGAGGACCTGTCATTATTTCTATTACAAGGGATGTTTACATTCCTTGTAATAGGAATAAAAAAGTGATTTAAAAAAAGGCACAGTGTAAAAATCAAATAACAAAAAAAAAATGTTTTAGCGCCCCCGTCCCTCAGTGCTCAAGCGCAAAAATGGCGCATACATAAGTCACGCACGCATATAATTCGCACATGCATATGTAACGGTGTTTGCAGCACACATGTGAGGTATCACCGTGAGCATTAGAGCGAGAGCAAAGATTCTAGCGCTAGATCTCCTCTGTAACTGTAAGGTCAGTCCATCCAGAAAATGTTGTTTCAGTGTTTGGTAGATGCAATGCCGGGACAAGATCGTCCAGTGCCCATGGCAAAGATGCCACGTTGCGCCCCTACTTCCCCTAAGGGTTAATGTGTTCTCAGTCAGCCTTGTAACAGAAGCAACTTGCACCGGATACCCCCATCCCTGCAATATAGCGCCCAGGGCAGCTGCCCCTCCTGCCCACCCCTTTTCCCAGCTCTGGGTAGATGCTGTAGAACTACAAGAAGAAAAGTATGGGTTTCCTTTTTTAGTTTCATTCTATTCCCTGTGAGCTTCGAATACATAAAACTCTTTCCAGCCCTTTGCACCCTTTATGGTAAAATGAAGATAAATACCTGTGGGAGGGGCTACAGTCTTCTCTGGATTATTATTCCAACATTCTTGTCAGAATCCACCTCCTACTGTTTCATGTCGGCTCTGGGCTGTCTGCTCTCCCCCTCCTCCTCGTCGCACACAGTTCAGATCAATTCTCTTACAGACAGCCTCTACGCGCACACTGTGTAGCTGCCGGCTATGCTGCAGTTCTGACCTTTGACGTTCCCAGATAAAAACAGCTGTGCAGCATAGCAGGCAGCTACACAGTGTACAGATAGAGGCCATCTGTCAGAAAATACATCTGAGCTGTGTGAGAGGAGGAAGGGGAGAGGAGCTGTGCTGCCTGTGCTCAGGCTGTGTGAAATTCAGGGATTTCAAAAGGATCCCAATGGGCACAGCTTCTGTGGAGAAAGGGGGGCACAACTGAAATCTGGGGGGGAGCGGAACAGCCCTCCCCAACACCTCCCCCTAGATTCAGCCATGTCTATACCACTTATGTATTTTTTCACTGCTTCCAGACACCTCTGGTAATGGCTAACCCCACCCTCCTTCCCTGCTGTGGCCAATATGAGGTTTTCCACCATTCCTGCTAAATTTGTGTTTCATTTGTGGGGAATGTGGCAGGAGGTTACAAGGTGTGTGGGGACACTCAAAGTACCAGGTGGACAGGAGCAGAGCCTGGAACCCCTTGGCGCTGGCACCTCCTTACCCTTTAAAGGGTTTTAGATGTTTGGAGGCGGGGCTGGGTTTGTGATCACGTGACCGCCGTGATTGGCTCTCACAGCGGTCACATGATCGCAGAGTTTTCAGTTATCCGCCAGTAACTGTGCCAGGAGCGCTCTCAGCACAGTTTTGGTTTTTTTTTTTTTGAGTATGCGTATATACGGCGTTAAGGCCCACCCGCCGAGAGGCCACATATATGTGTGCCACCAGTGGGAAGGAGTTAAACATAGAAGAAGTCAGGGATTGGCTTAGCCCACTGTGCTCCACCTATTCCTAAACTATATTGATTCCCCCGCCCCCTTTATAGACTGAATGGGGGCCATCGGTGGTCTTCCATCTCTGCAGTCTGAGACTTGTCCTGATTGGTCATGCTGGTTGTCTCTGACTCTTGCTGAGTTCCTAGGACTTGCAGGTCCACATCACCAGCCCCGAAGATCTGACCACCTAACTCTTCACCTTTTCTCACGCAGCTCATGTGTTGCGGATCGAAGACGTACATCGACTGGGGCCAGACCGCGTATTTCAAGACCAATGGCATCCCGCATAGCTGCTGTAAGGCGCACATGAACTGCACGGACGAGGTGCTGAAGAGCATTGATAAGGCCAAGGATGTCGTATACAATGATGTAAGTCACCAGCAGGGAGCAGATCATCCCTCCAAATATCTACTGCAGCATTCTGTGTGTCCAGACTGTGTACGCTGTCAGGAGAGACCCTGTTTTGGGATGAGACCCTCAATTCCCCCCCCCCTTTTCTGGCCATGTATATGTGCAGACCATTTACTAAACCCACAACCATACAATCAGTCTGTAGATGCAGCAAAGCATGCTTGTTATACTCACTGTGGGACCTAAGGGGTTAATCCTCCGCATTGTGTAAAAAGGTTGTTTGATCCTGTCTTCTCTGATCCTCCTCTTGTTCAAATGTCCATTTGATACAGACTGAACCCATAGGCACATGCTCAGTTTGGTGTGTATTGCTAGAGATTTTTTTTTTCCTCTTGGGAGAGTGTCTGGACAGTGCCGATTGGCCCTGTGCTGATCACATGCAGCAGGGGTCAGGGGTCCTGCAGCCTCATACAGGATAATGAATACTCCTCCCACAAGCTTTAACCAATGCTCTGCTGGACACTGATCGCAATAACAAGACTGCTATATACTGCTGATGAAAAAAAAGGTATTTAGCAGTTTATATTTAATAAAATAATTGCATTTCCATGTTCTGTGTACTGTGGGAGACCAGATATAGTGAATGCAGGGTCCGGGGAGAGCGGATATAGTGAATGCCGGGTCCGGGGAGACAGATATAGTGAATGCAGGGTCCGGGGAGAGCGGATATAGTGAATGCAGGGTCCGGGGAGAGCGGATATAGTGAATAGTGTCCGGGGAGAGCAGATATAGCAGGGTCCGGGGAGACCAGATATAGTGAATGCAGGGTCCGGGGAGAGCGGGTGAATAGTGAATGCAGGGTCCGGGTCGGCGAGACTGGATATAGTGAATGCAGGGCCCGGGGAGAGCGGAGACATAGTGAATGCAGGGCCGGGGAGACTGGATATAGTGAATGCGGGGTCCGGGGAGACTGGATATAGTGAATGCAGGGTCCGGGGAGACTGGATATAGTGAATGCAGGGTAGAGCGGACATAGTGAATGCAGGGTAGTGAATGCGGGGGGGAGACGGACATAGTGAATGCAGGGCCCGGGGAGAGCGGACATATGTGAATGCAGTAGAAATGCAGGGTTCGGGGTGAGACAGGGCCCGGGGATGTATAGTGAATGCAGGGTCCGGGGAGAGCGGGTATAGTGAATGCAGGGTGGGGAGATGTGAATGCAGGATCGGGGAGACCGGGAATGCAGGGTCCGGGAGCCATGGATATAGTGAATGCCGGGTCCGGGGAGAGCGGATATAGTGAATGCCGGGTCCGGGGAGAGCGGATATAGTGAATGCCGGGTCCTGGGGAGAGCGGATATAGTGAATGCAGCGGGTCCTGGGGAGAGGTGGTGAATGCAGGGTCCGGGGAGAGCGGATATAGTGAATGCAGGGTCCGGGGAGAGCGGATATAGTGAATGCAGGGTCCTGGGGAGAGCGGTTAAGGTGAATGCAGGGTCAGGGGGGGGGGGGGGGGGGGGCTCCTCTCCTAGAATGAAATGGCTTACTCTGATCTCACTGCACACTGTGATCTTCTCTCCAAGCTATATAGAGCTCCGCCTTATTTCCTGGCTGAAGGACATCCAGCATCATCTAGCACTTTTCCTCCCCAGCCTTACTATCCCTGGCCCGCCTCTTTCACTCATTGAATTTAATTTCTTCCAATCATGGAGGCTCAGCATCAGATGTGGGTGTTACCTAGGGTGGTCTGAGTTCAAATTCAACTTGTCTAGGAACACCTACCCTTCCAGACTGACATCCACCCATGGAGACATTTTGATATTTAAATATCTCCTCCCAAGAGCCAACCCATTGCTTGCATTAGGGATATTGAGTAGTGAGGCCGGGGCTGCGATGTTTTCAGTAAGCTACATAGAGCACCCTGCTGAACCCCTCCCACCTGCCACATTTGCTGCTTCGCATAGAGAAGCACAGAGACCCAAAATAAATATTTGTAATAGAAATTGAAAGATTTTATCTAAAGCGGAGCTCCAGGTTCCCCCCCCAAAAAAAAAATATTAGGTTGACTTTCAATACAAGGACACTTGCCTGTCCAGGGATCCAGCACCGTCCTCATCTGGACTGATTCTTCAATCGGCTTTGGATCCGGGCGCCGGCATCTTTAGTAAGAGAAACCGACAGTGAAGCCTTTTGGCTTTAAAGCTGGTTTCCTGCTGCGCTTTGTGAATGCTCCCGCAGTCTTCTGGGACCTGTGAAGTGTCCCAGATGGCTATGGGGGAAGAAGGGGGGAGGGAAACTTCCGGCTCAGATCGCCGTGGTACATCTGGGATCGGGTACCCGCTCCCCCCTCCCCCCAAAAAGAGTACCAAATGTGGCATTGGAGGGGGGAGGCACACAAGCAGAACTTCCCCCTTTTGGGTGAAGTTCTGCTCAGGGGCGGACTGACAACTCATGGGGCCCCCGGGCAATAGGGGATCATGGGGCCCCTGTGTCCTTGCCCAAACTAAAAAAAGTCTATGAAAAAAGTACCAGGGGCATCTCATGGGGACCCCTACTGACCCTGGACCCTCGGGCAGTACCTGAGTTTCCAAATGGTCAGTCCGCCCCTGGTTCCGCTTTAAAAATGTAATTCGTGTATTGATGGGGGGAGGCAAAATATAAGCAGATTCAACTTTAGCTTTCAGCCTCCCCCTTCCCAAACACCTAAATATTCACACTCCCCTTTTTAAGCCTAAAAGTTCATCTCTGTCCCTCTGCTCTCTCCTCCTATCAGCATGCTTCTTGCACCGCAGCACAACTGATCAGCAATTTGTGCTGCTTTTCTCTCCCCACAGTCTGATTTCCTTTGTATGGGGACTGCAAGAGGATGTTACCGGGCCAGACTCAACGGCTTACACTGGTTGCAAATTTAGCCTCTTAGTGCCTGAGGGTAAAACCAATGTTAATGCCTAAGCACAATTTTGCAACTTTGACATGTGTTTGTCAAACTGTACATATCATCACAACTACTTTGTGTATCCAGGTGGACTACACCTTGGTTTTTTCAAGACCAGATTAGGCTTTCATCTAGTGGTAAATGGTGATGGATTTCTCTTTTATTATCAAAGGAAAATTGGTCCAAAAAAGTTAAATAAAAAATCATTTTTTTAGCTGTGTATTTATTGTTATTACTATATTTTACCACCAAAGAACAACCCAAAATAGATTCTCTTGCTCCTGACAATCACAGCGATACCACGTATGTCTTATTAGTTGTGTGCGCATTTTGCATTTTTTATCCCACCTGAATACACGGATACAATTTAAATAAAAATCCTTTTTTGTTTATTTAATTCCACCCAAAATATGCTGCCATGACCTTTGACTCCGACCTTCACCCTAAAACTAACCCAGGCAAATCCTGATCTTCTATTTAGTTTATCTCATTTGTAAAACATTTTTTTCTTTTCTATTTTCAATTCTTTTACTTTAAATGTTTTATTATTTATTTATTTATTTATTTTTTTTGTAAAGCACTTTTGTTTGTTTATATCTCTCTCTCCTGCAAGAAGAGAAAGATATAATGTATTTTCCCTTCATTAAGAAAAGGAAGTAAATACTGGGGCAGGCTCACACATAGTCATTCAGAGGCTATCACCGCGATCAGGTGAACCCCAGGAGTTCAGGTCCTGATCATTTGTAGAGGACCCAGAGCTTTAGGTGAGAGCCTGGTCTCTGTGCGGCGCGCTCCCAGCACAAAGAGATGCACGCACGCACACGGAAAGACCCACTTCTGTGAGACCCCATACACTCACCAGCCACTTTATTAGGTACACCTTGCCAAGAAAATCTCCCCCCCACCATGACACCACCACCACTAGCCTGAACCATTCATACAAGGCAGGATGGATCCACCACACCATGACACCACCAGCCTGAACCAATCATACAAGGCAGGATGAATCCACCACACCATGACACCACCACCACCAGCCTGAACCATTGATACAAGGCAGGATGGATCCACCACACCATGACACCACCACCACCAGCCTGAACCATTCATACAAGGCAGGATGGATCCACCACACCATGACACCACCACCTGCCTGAACAATTCAAAGCAAGGCAGGATGGATCCACCACACCATGACACCACCACCACCAGCCTGAAACATTCATACAAGGCAGGATGGATCCACCACACCAGGACTCCACCACCACCACCAGAAACATTCATACAAGGCAGGATGGATCCAACCACCAGCCCGAACCATTGATACAAGGCAGGATGGATCCACCACACCATGACACACCACCACCAGCCTGAACCATTGATACAAGGCAGGATGGATCCACCACACCATGACACCACCAGCACCAACCTGAACCATTCATACAAGGCAGGATGGATCCACCACACCATGACACCATGACATCACCACCACCAGCCTGAACAATTCATACAAGGCAGGATGGATCCACCACACACACCATGACACCCCCACCACCAGCCTGAACCATTGATACAAGGCAGGATGGATCCCCTACCACACCATGACACCCCCACCACCAGCCTGAACCATTGATACAAGGCAGGATGGATCCACCACACCATGACTCCACCACCACCAGCCTGAAACATTCATACAAGGCAGGATGGATCCACCACCACCAGCCCGAACCATTGATACAAGGCAGGATGGATCCACCACACCATGACATCACCACCACCAGCCTGAACCATTGATACAAGGCAGGATGGATCCATGCTTTCATGTTGTTTACGCCAAATTCTGACCCTACCATCTCAATGTTGTAGCTGAAATCGAGACTCCTTAGACCAGCCAACGTTTTCCAATCTTCTGTTGTCCAAGTATGGTGAGGCTGTGCAAATTGTAGCTTCCGTTTCCTGTTCTTAGCTGCCAGGAGTGGCACCCGGTGTGGTCTTCTGCTGCTGTAGCCCATCTGCTTCAAGGTTGAACATGTTGTGCGTTCAGAGATGGCATTCTGCATACCTTGGTAGTAACAAGTGGTTATTTGAGTTACTGTTGCCTTTCTGTCATCTCCGCCCAGTCTGCCCATTCTCCTCTGACATCGACAAAGCATTTTCATCCACAACTGCCGCTCACTGGATATTTTCTCTTTTTCGGACCACTCTCTGTAAACCCTAGAGATGGATGTGCGTGAAAATCCCAGTAGATCAGCAGTTTTTTGAAATACTCAGACCAGCCTGTCTGGCACCAACAAAAATGCCACATTCAAAGCCACTTAAATCCCCTTTCTTCCCCATTCTGATGCTTGGATTGAACTTCAGCAGGTTGTCTTCACCACATCTAGATGCCTAAATGCATTGAGTTGCTGCCATGTGATTGGCCGATTAGCAATTTGTGTTATCAAACGATTGATCAGGTGTACCTAATAAAGTGGCCGGTGAGTGTATATGGGTACGGTCAGTGGGAAGGGTTAATGATGTATTATTGATTACAGAGCTGCATTCATTTGTGTCTTTTTATATCTGTCTGGAGTTCAGCTTTAGATCTCCTGATCAGGATTATTTTAGTGGTGGAAGGGAAGCAGAGTGGTCAGTAGAATCTATACTGTACATTGTCTTCCTTCATACCACGGGTGATTGTTGAGGGTTTATCACATATTTAGCCTCGTTATTTATTTTATATCCAGGGCTGCATGTCCTTCGTCACCACCATCATGGAGTCACGGATGGGCGTAGTAGCTGGCATTTCATTTGGCATAGCCTGCTTCCAGGTAAGCACAACTCCTATGTGAAATCAAGGACTGAAGTCCAAGACCAGGGGTCCTCAAACACTCGAAAGGACCGGTTCACTGTCCTCTAGAGTTTAGGGGGTCAGATTGTAGTGGGGAGAAAATAACCTGGTGTTTGTTATTACCAACATTCCCCCTGGTTTGGTGGTGAGTGGGTGTTGAAAATGCCGAGGGTAGGGGAGCAGTGGGAGCAACAAAATTGTCCAATCATTGGTATCAGTGAGAGGAATAGTGTCCCAGTGTCAGGAATAATACCCCATT